AACCTGAAACTGACTTGAATCTAATCTGACTAGATTTTAACCTGAAACTGACTTGAATCTAATCTGACTAGATTTTAACCTGAAACTGTCCATAATCTAATCTGACTACATTATAATCTGAAACTGATCATAATCTAATCTGACTAGATTATAACCTGAAACTGACTTGAATCTAATCTGACTAGATTATAACCTGAAACTGCTCATAATCTAATCTGACTACATTATAACCTGAAATTGATTATAATCTAATCTGACTACATTATAACCTGAAACTGACTTGAATCTAATCTGACTAGATTATTACCTGAAACTGACTATAAACTAATCTGACTAGATTATAACCTGAAACTGACTATAATCTAATCTGACTAGATTATAACCTGAAACTAACTATAAACTAATATGACTAGATTATAACTTGAAAGTGACCATGATCTAATCTGACTAGATTATAAACTGAAACTGATCATAATCTAATCTGACTAGATTATTAACTGAAACTGACTATAAACTAATCTGACTACATTATAACCTGAAACTGACCGTAAACTAATCTGACTTGATTATAACCAGAAACTGATCATAATCTAATCTGACTAGATTATAACCTGTAATTGATCATAATCTAATCTGACTAGATTATAACCTGAAACTGACTTGAATCTAATCTGACGATATTATAACCTGAAACTGACCACAATCTAATCTGACTAGATTATAACTTGAAAATGACCATGATCTAATCTGACTAGATTATAAACTGAAACTGATCATAATCTAATCTGACTAGATTATAACCTGAAACTGTCCATAATCTAATCTGACTACATTATAATCTGAAACTGATCATAATCTNCTGTAATTCTGAGTGTTTTATGTGCTGCAGAACAGGAACCTGCTGTAAAACAGCAATTATGCTGAGTCAGGCTTGATTTTTAGTCATCTTTTCCTGTTAAATCAAATCAAATCAAAACCTCACACATAAAAACAAACAAGTGGAGCTTAAAATGCATTAAATACAACTGGTGGTGTAAACAAGTGTAGACTACCCCTTCACTATATGAAATAAATGTATTTTCTGTTTCCACATTAATCTGAAACAAAGTGACTCTGAGTTTATCAGTCATGTATTTCCTGCAGGTTAAATGTGTCGTTTGTTCAACAGAACTTTATATTTAAACAGAACCTCCTCCTCAGTGCTGACCCAGGTACAGCTGTTCTTTATTGATTATTAATTATTATTCTTTATCTCATTTGAAACCATGAAGCTTCCAGGAAGCAGATGCTGCTCTGCAGCTGTGAGCAGGTGTCTTCTTCAGCTGGACACGTTTAAAAAAACAACCGACTCAACTTCAAAACATCAGAAAAACTTGTTTTAAGGTCCACAAGCATCCTCATTCACATGTTCCCTTACATGTTCATGTTACACATGTTCACATTATTTAAAGACTGTATCTAAATATCAGAGAGATTTTACATGTTAATGAAGATATGAAATAATACAAACACAGGTGGTCAGCATCAGTTGTGAACTGGGTTGCCTGTAGTGACAGTGATGTGTTGAAGCTCATCTACATCATTAATCTGAAGAATAAGCTGCACAGAGCAGAGACATCTTCTGCTGTTTGTTTGAGCAGAGGAACAATGACCTGTCCAAGATGGCCGCCCCATTTCCAGTGCAGGCTCTGCTCCTCATGTCTGTCGATTACTGTTCACTAGTCAGTGCATCTTATCATGAGTCAGCACTTTGTAGAGCTTCTCTTTGTGAAGGGTGGGACTTAAACTGGTTCTGGTTCTGATCGGATCCGGATGTTCTTGTCTCTGTCCTCAGACGAGGACGGCGCTGCTGTTCAGGGCGAGAAGAGGAAGAGGGACGCCGAAGATGAAGGAGACGATGACGATGATGAGTAAAGGACCCGCCCATACCTTCTAACCCCGCCCCCTGAACTGGGCGTGGCCTTGGAGTCGCAGACAGGAAGTATCAGACTTGGATCCAGGTGGGCCCAAAGGTGCCGTTCAGCCTCTGACACCTGGTCGTCATCGTCAAACAAACAAACACACAAACAAACACACAAACAAACATCACATGGTTAGAGTTTCCCCTCACACACTGAGCAGCTCAGACAGAACATAAAGTCCTGGTTCTGACTCAGACCTGGGTCCAGACTGGTCCAGTAAACCTGATCTAGTCTGTGTGACCCAGTTATTACCCATGATCCTCGGCTCCTGTGACATCAGAGCAGCTGATTGGTCTAAAAGCAGGTTCGGCTCTCTGATTGGACGTGTCTTTTGTTACAGCTTTAGCCCCGCCCCCTGCCACCTGTCTGCGGCTCCTGCTGGGCTCTGGTTGGTGTAAATAGCAGTGAACCGGTCCTTGTACAGGTCCTTCTCAAAAATTATCATATTGTGATAAAGTTCATTATTTTCTGTAATGTACTGATAAACATTAAACTTTCATATATTTTAGATTCATTGCACACCAACTGAAGTAGTTCAAGACTTTTATTGTTTTAATTTTGATGATTTTGGTAAAAAAGTAAAGAAAAATCAAAAATCCCTATCTGAAAAAATTAGCATATTTCATCCGACCAATAAAAGAAAAGTGTTTTTAACACAAAAAAAATCAACCTTCAAATAATTATGTTCAGTTCTGCACTCAATACTTGGTGAGGAATCATTTTACAGAAATGACAGCTTCAATGTGGCGTGGCATGGAGGCAATCAGCCTGTGGCTCTGCTGAGGTGTTATGGAGGTCCAGGATGCTTCGATAGTGGTCTTAAGATCATCCAGAGTGTTGGGTCTTGTGCTCATCCAGAGTGTTGGGTCTTAAGCTCATCCAGAGTGTTGGGTCTTAAGCTCATCCAGAGTGTTGGGT